TGGGGGGGTGGGTCCCCAGCTCCCACCTCCTCTGTCCTGTACGTCTGGGCGCCCTGGTGGGGACGGGTGTCTGATGCCTTCTCCTGCTCCAGCTGGAACTGGACACCAAATACGCCAACAAGACCTGCGGGCTCTGTGGGGACTTCAACGGCATGCCCGTGGTGGGCGAGCTCCTCTCCCACAGTAAGACTCCGCGCGGCTGGCCCCTTCCTTAGCATGCCCTGGCAGGCTCGGCCTCTCAGAACCCCAGGTTGTGCACACCTACACCCTTCCACATTCTAAGCACATGCACAGTGTTCAATCCCTGCACACACGTGCACTTCCAGCACATGCACATGCATGCATGAGCACCCTCCCACACTGAGTATACACAGTGTGCAATTCCTGCACACACATGCAATTCTAGCACACACATGCACACATGCATGCCCTCCCACCCTGAGCACATGCACAGTGTGCAATCAGGCACACACATGCAATTCCAGCACATGAACATGCATGCATGAGCACCCTCCCACACTCTGAGCACACACACACTGTGCAATACCTGCACATATGTGCAATTCTAGCACACGCATGCATACATGCACATCCTTCCACACTCCAAGCACACACACAGTGCCTAATCCCTGCACACATGCACAATTCCAGCACACACACAGGCACCCATAAGCACAGAGATACCCACCCCCCCCACCCTTCCAGCACATGCACACACCTGTGCACCCACAGCCTCACCACTGGGCCCCTTGCTTTCGGCATTGTGCCCTGGGTTGCCCCTGGCCACACACCCTCACCCAAGATGCCAGGCTTCCTCCTGTTTGGTCCTTGGGTTGCCAGGCCGTGGCCTTGCCATGTGAACTGTACCAGCCAGAGCCTCTGACCAACTACCCTCTGCCAGTTCCACAAAGCCCCAGGCAAGCCCCCTACAAGGGGCGTCCTACATGGGGGACTAAGGCTGTTCCAGTGTCCCAAAGTCCCCAGCCAGGTGGCCCAGGGCCGGAAGGCGTGCGGGTTTACTTCCCAGCCTGGCAAGCGGGAGCCCAGGACCCGGCCAGCTGGTGCCCCAGTCCCTGTCCTGCAGCCCTGAATGCCACGGGGTTCCGTGCTGGCTCCTCAAGTGGTGTGGATGGGGCCCAAGTGGGCATGGTGGGGCAGAGGACACAAAGAGCCCCTGCAAGCCCCCATGTGGAACCAGCCTCCCGGGATTTTGCTGCCGGACATGGGGCTAGGGGCTGGGACTGCAGACAGAGCCTGGGCCTGTGTGTCTTGCAGACACCAAGCTGACCCCCTTGGAGTTCGGGAACCTTCAGAAGATGGATGGCCCCACGGAGCAGTGCCAGGACCCCGTCCCCATGCCCCCCGAGAACTGCACAGCCAGTGTTGTGAGCCTC